GAAGACCAATAAAATAAGTGAATTCTCCTACAAGACTCATCTTAAATTCATGCATCATTTGTTGGACACAATGTCCCAACATCTTGTCTGTCATTTCTCCCAAAACAAAGCCATACATGAATTTTTATTTATCATACTTCATGCATAGAGTTTTGTTTATTCCACATGTGTTTTCCAGTTTCATTGGTTTCAGGCCTTTAGAGGTGGTAAAATGTTGGAACATCTTGGCCAACTTACCTATTTTGCAATCTCTACTGGATTTGCCTTTTTCAATTTTCAGCTTTGGTAAACCCCTAATGGCTTCTTTAGATATGATCTTATTCATGCTCTTGAGGTTGATATTATCAAGTTTTGGTGCCATAATATCAAACATGATGAGGTCTGAGATATCCACATACAACAGTTGTTCTTGGACCTAGATCCCTTCATAAACACTTCTTAATCTTGGTTGGTGACAATGTATTCAGACTTGTTGAAGTTCATATTCATACCTTGCTCACATAGTTGTCTGATGTTGCTCAAGTTAACGGTTAGTCTTTCTACGAACAACACATCACCAAGACAAGAGAAACTTGTACTAACCAATTTGCATATGCCCTTGATTTTTCTTCTAGCATCATCACCAAAAGTAACATAACTATTATAGTAGGTCTTTAAACCTTCAAGATAGTTATTTTCTCCAGTCATGTTCCTGGAACACCACTATTAAATTACCAATCTTCTCTTGAGGAAACTCTAAGAGATGTATGAACTATGAGACAAGTGACAATTTATTTGAGTTTCTATGCTTTCTTTGCTTGAGTTTTCTTCCATTTCTTTATATTTATCCTTGTCTGACTATAGGTCTAAGGATATCTATACATACAATCTATAGAAAAAGAGTCTTATATTACCATATCTTACACACTAGTGACACCTCCAAGATGAGTTCTTGTTATATGGGTACACATGTTGAACATGATGCTGAGACATGTGGTCCTTCATAGGGAACTCAATTTTCTTTTTAGGAGAAACAAACTTCTTAGTGGGAATTTTTATATATTTCTTCTTGAAAGTGTATTCAAACCCTATAGCCTTCATATTACTAGACTTTTCCTAAACTTCTAAGATCTCATCTAACATATCAGAACCATTGTTTAACATACGTACATATTTTTTCACATTATAAAGTTTGAACTTTAACAATGTGACTTCCTCTTCCAGACCAGAAATGGTGGAAAAAAGTTTCTCTTTTTCTTGGAGGAAAGAAATTATGGTTTTCTTCTATTTCTCTTCAATCATTCAAGCTTCCTCCCACTTGTTGTGTAAGATCCTGAATGTTGCAGCTAGCTCTTCTTCAGTCATGTCTTTATCACTAGAGTCTCCTTCAGACTCATACTCCTAGTGAAAACCATTACTTTGCTAGTTGTTTCCACTTCACTCTCATCACCATAATCAAACCAAGTGATTGATAATCCTTTTTTTGGTTTCTTTAGAAAAGTAGGACATTCAAATTTGATGTGAACAAACCTTTCACATTCATAACATTGGACTACTTTACCTTTGTTAGGTTTGTCTTCATTTTTTCTCTTGCTCTGGGAACAAATGTTTAACCCCTTGTCTTGAACATTTTTCCTCCATCGTCTGTCCATCCTTCTCAAGGATTTGTTAAAATTTCTCCCAACAAGAGTTATAGAATTTGAAAGTCTTTCACTATGCTTATCACTATGATCTTCATTCTCTTTAGTTTTGGAGACAAAATATATACCCATGTTCTTCGTTTTAGATATCTCATTTATAGTCTTCTCAAAGGTTTGTAAAGAACCAATGAGTTCATCAACTTTGATCTTGCTTAAGTCTTGTGCTTCTTCAATTGTTGTTACCTTAATGTCAAACTTCTTAGGCAAAAATCAAAGGATTTTTCTGACTAAATTTTCTTTTGACATCTTCTCTCCCAAGGCAAAAGAATTGTTGGCTATGTCACAAAGACGAACTTTAGAATCAAATATGGATTTATTATACATCATTCTCATATTCTCAAACTTAGTTGTGAGGAGATGCGATCTTGACATACACACTTTGAAAGTTCCTTCATGATCAGTCTTCAGAATCTACCAAGCCTCTTTAGCTTCAGTACATATGTTGATTAATCTGAACATGTTCTTGTCAACACCATTGAATATGGTATTCAAAGCTTTATCGTTTCTAAGAGCTTAATCATCTTCATCTTTAGACCAATCAACTTTAGGGTTTATGCTTGTTTTACCATCTTGAGAAGTAGTCATTGGGTGTTTCTAGCCTTTTGCGATAGCCTTCTATATTTTGTTGTCCATGGATTTAAGAAAGGCAACCATATTAGATTTCCAATAATCATAGTTAGAGTCATCCAAAACAAGTGGTCTGTTGACATAACCTCCATCCTTAGTGTTGTCCATTTGAAGAGAAAATATCTTCCTTGGAGCTTACCCAAACATAACAGGATTCCTGCTCGGATGCCAATTAAAATTATGTTCCTTGGCGGACACATGTATAAGACAACTTGTCCAACTTGTTAACACTGTTTTAAGAATAATATGACATCAACAATGATTCAAAGTAAAAACAACAAAGAATACAAGAGAATTGGTAACCTAGTTTGCTACAATCTCACCTACGTCTGGGAGGCTTCTAACCCAAGAAAAGAAATTCACTCTTCAATAGAATTAGTACAAAGTGTCTTAGATGAACAAACTCATATTCAATGTCCCTTTTCTTAACTATATCCACAGTGTATTTCTATTTAGGACTCTCCCAACTCAATAAACAATTTAGAGAATATTTAATTACAACTCAACTATCAAACTAAAATTTATCCCTTAAGATATGAAATACTAGTGTTAGAGTAGTGCACAAACAACAACACAAACAAAAGACTCAAAATAGAAACCCTAACACAAAAAATATTCAATCCTTTCAGGCACCTTCTCAAAAGAGAGGTTTGAGTCTCCTTAAATAGCAATGCAGTTTTAGGGTTTTCTCCTTTGGATATTAGTTGCGATCTCGTCCAGATTTGTAGAATATTTAGTTGGATTATGTTTTTGATTTATTCCGCAAAAGCCTCCAACAAAAAATATAATTTGTTTTTAATTCAAATTTTAAATCTTTAAACAATTAGATTTTATAACATCCAGCTTGTCAAACAAATCTAATTAATCCATTGCTAAAAGATAACAACAAATCTGATTGAAATACAACCAAAATTTTCGCTCCAAACAACAACAACATTGGTCTGCTGACAATGGTCAGATGTTGCACATATGCTAAAACATTGTGTTTCACACGTGTCCTTTTTTCACCAAAACATCTTATACACTCCATATTATTTTGCATAATGTAGTCAATCAATAGGAACGACAGTGACCATTTTGGTCGGCCTGGAACAAATTTCATTTTTTAATCAACACAATTCAATCCTCTCTTGTGTTTGAAGTCACTTGGTTAACATTTTCTCCTTCTATTTTTAATATTAAGTCTGGTGCTAATGATAGTCGAAACACACTAACATAATTTTACATTAAATAAGAATATATATATATATATATATATATATATATATATATATATATATATATATATATATATATATATATATATATATATATATATATATATATATATATATATATATATATATATATATATATATATATATATATATATATATATATATATATATATATATATATATATATATATATATATATATATATATATATATATATATATATATATATATATATATATATATATATATATATATATATATATATATATATATCCTCCAACAACTTAAACTTCCTAATTAGGTGTTTAAAGAATTTGATAATTATGCATAGGACATTCCTAAGTAAGTATTGTTGGTTGGACATTTCAAAAAAGCAAGAACTCGTGGAGGCTAAAAATGGTCATCATGAACCTTCTTGATTGCATCTCATGCATTTCTGCGTTTTTTATGTTTTATCAATGAATTATCTAATTTGGAATTATAGATGCACTGGTGGACGCCTTTTTCCTAGGTATGTTCATGATCTAACATATATTTATAACTTGAATTTTCAAACTTCCATGGATCTCCGGTAGCATTTCCGTCAAATTGGTTCTCCTTTAAACTTACTAGAACTGTATTTTTGATATCAAAAACCATTGGATTTTCTAGTTGAAACCCAAAAGAAATTTGTCAAGCATTAGTCCTTCTACAATAATCTCTCATAATTCGTCTAAGTGGATCGTTAGCCTTATTCACTTCTTTTTTATCATGATTGTTTTCTAAAGGCATAGGTGTTAACTCTTCTTTTCGCGCTTCTATTTATCGTGCTAGTCGAGTTATTTTTCGATTAGTCTTTGTCATCTTCACAATCTCTGAATCGAATAATAATTTACTAGATCTTTCACCTTACATATACAATTAGAAAAAAAAAATACTTTAGTATCGTACCATTAAAAAATAGCTCAATAAGAATAACTATTTTTTTATTGAAATTAATATAAAATAAAATACTATAGAAAATAAAATAAAATACTCAATAAATTCAAGTACAATTTAATTGCAGGAGTTAATTTTATAGATTTTGAGAAAAAATAAATTTATTAGATAATTTTTATGCTAGGAGAGATATTTATTTTTTTTGTTTTTCAATATTATAAAATCTTATATCATAAAAAAATAAAAATAAAAGGACCTTATATTATAATTAGAGAAAAAGGAAGTATATTTTTGGCGTAGGTGGGATTTTTTTTCTTTCCTTTACAACTTTGCAAATCAGCAACACCTTATCTCAACCAGAAAAAGTTATGATGAAACATAACGTGTCTCCATATAAACGTTGTAAACTCAAATTCAATATACACCTTACAAAACCATCACCCCAAAAAAGATCAACATGGTAACGACAAGACAACACTACTACATTATTTCACTCACTCATCATTAAAAACTAGGTGTGTGACCTTGTGCTATTATTATTGCCAAAACCATGAAAGCTATGAAAGCTTCATCACACATTACTACTCCATTTGCTCTCATTTCACCCAACCAACTACTCAATGCAATCACTCTTGGTAATTATAACTCATCCACTCTCTCTTTATGATTGTTTTCAAAACTGTTTTGCTTTGTTAATTAAATTCATCAACATCATACTTAACCAGTACTTATTATATGTATGTGTTTAACCCTCTTCCAATTATGGAGTAAAGGTTTCTTATAATTGGGAGTTTGACATAGATTTTGTAACTGCAGGAGATAAATATTTTGGTTTCAAATATAGCAAAGATAAGAGTATTGTAATGACAATGGTAGCCAAGGGATTAGGTAAAGGTGGTGGTTTGTTGGAGAAGCCGCCTCCAACCATAGAGACAACATCACCTGGCCGAGAATCTGAATTTGATTTAAGGTAATAATTAATAACATTAGAAGCTTAAAGATTGTGATATCATACATTACTTATATAAGTTGTTTTGGGTTGGATTGAAAATCGAGACTAATGGTAGTTTATATACAACCTCAACCTAACGAGATGTTTTTTTTAAAAGACAAAGTCATGAGGGTTCTCACGTCCAAAGCGAACAATACCTTGTAGCTGCAGTGACACATGCTTGAGGTCGACTGGAACATTGACACCGTCTGTGCCCCTTAGCCTCGACTAGGGGGCAACTGTTACGGGCTGGAAAAAATAGTTCCACATTATTTGAGAATCGAGGCTAATGGTCGTTTATATACAACACCTTGATTAGGGGGCAAGTGTTTCAGGTTGGCCAAAATAGTTTCGCATTACTTAGGAATCGAAGTTAATGGTGGTTTATATATAACACTCATACACCTCAATTTAATGAGACACGTTTTCTATAGGACAAAATCGTGACGACTCTCACATCCAAAATGGATAATACCTCATAGCCGCAATAGCGCGGGTTTGAGGTTCACGGGAACATAATTGGTCTGTTTTCACAATCACTAGAATTTATTTATAGGTTCACTATAATGATTTCTTTGAAAAAGAAGTGTAACTATGAAGCATATGAATTCACTTTATGGAAACTCATTCCTATTATATCATATCTTTCTTTCTTTCTGCATGTGCACTCCCTTTTCTTTGTATTTCTCTGTCGCATTATGTGACATAATCACATTCATTGAAAGGCAAAATGAGTAGTCAAAACTCAAACCTGTGTTGTATGATATCTGATGTTTGTGTCTTGTATCAATTTTTCATAACTCAAAACTTATGATGGCATGTTTTATCATTTTTGTTACTAGGAAATCAAGAAAAACATCACCACCATACAGAGTAATGCTACACAATGACAACTATAATAAAAGAGAATATGTAGTACAAGTGTTGATGAAAGTGATACCTGGAATGACAGTTGATATTGCAGTTAACATCATGCAAGAGGCACATTATAATGGATTAGCAGTGGTCATTGTTTGTGCTCAAGTTGATGCTGAAGATCATTGCATGCAATTGAGAGGAAATGGCCTTTTAAGTTCAATTGAGCCAGCAGATGGTGGTTGCTGAATACTCAAATTCATCGCAGTTAGTAAATTGGAATCCTCAGATGAAGATCAGACGATTTATAGTAAAGATCAGTAAATTGAATATATAGTATGAGTTGTTCACTCAGATGATTCCGATTGATTCACGGTGGTGATTAGTACATGATATTAACTATAGGGTGCTTAAGTGTATACATATTATACACATTTTTCAGTGTCCTATTTCCCAAACATTAAAGATAGTTAGTAGTTGTATAGTACAATATTTGTGATAAGTCATGGAAATTTATAATGCTAAATTGAAGTTATATAAGAATATTGTCAATGTTCAAAGTTTGCAGCATTGAAGACTTTCAAAATTTGTCAGAATTTAGCAGTGGCCCAATTCCAAGATTGAAAGAGTAATTCATATTGAACATTGTTTAACAGAATTTATATGAAAGATGGGACGCAGATTACACCTTAAATAGTCGAAGGGGATAAAGGGGCGGGAGAGACACCTGAACTCACGTGCCAAAAAATGGGACGGAACTGACCTGACAGACCTTGCACCTTAAAGCTTAAAAGTTAAAGCTTAAAAGTGGAAAAAGTCATGTTCCACTCTATTAATGTCCGTGCACTCACTAAATCTTGTCAAAATCGAGACGCAATGGAGTGGGTGGACAAAGTTGAGGATGCTGGGCGAAAACCTTGACTTGACCTGTCAAAAAAAAGCAAGCATGTCCGACAGATCGACACGTTTTTCACCCCTATAAAAAATTAACCTAATTAGTGAATTAAGTCCTAAACATAAACTAGGCCTAATATATGATTAAGTGCCCCAAATCTGTAATCAATTTTACTGCTTTAGTAACTTAATTTTTTTACTAACATGACATCTGATATGAGCACTCCGGGCAAAACTCACGTTCAAGACACAAATAAAGATTCGAAAGACATAAAGCATTATGCAATTTTATAAAATTCTAAAAATGCAAAGTAGCAAGCAAAATGCACACCCTAGGCTAGGGGTGGAAAAGTGGACGACCCGTCTCGTTTAGGCTCGTCCCGTTTAAGCCCGTACAAAAGCGGGACGAGACGGGCAAACTTGGACATCTGAACTCAAAAGTTAAGTTCGTTCCGTTTACTCACGAATTGGCGGGTTAGCGGGCCGGCCCGCCAATTCTTTTAGTTTTTTTATTTTACAATTTAATTTATTACGTAATTTACAAAAAATTTAATCATTACTAAAGAAGCCGACAAAAGATACTTTTTTAACAACGCATAATATAACTTCAACATGTCTTAAGTCTAAACATTTTAAAAAATAAAATAGATAAAAACCAATTTCAAGAAAAACATACCGAAATAGACTTTAGCACGATTAAAAAATGTATCAAAATAAATAAATAAACAACACATATCATCATAATCCTATTTAAAAACTAATTACTAAAAGAACCCAATTAATAATTTGCACAAGACAAACAATAAGAATGTTACAGTGCATAAAACATCACATTGCATAAAATAGTAGTGTATAAAATATTAACACCTGACTTTCTCATTGTTTACGTCATATAGATTATTATATTGACTGATTCCTTAATAGTTATATCTTAAATTTGTCACACGTATACTTTAATCGAATTCTTCCTTTTCTTAAAATTAACATTTGTTTCTAAAGAAAACATGTGAGCTAATGTATTGACAACATAATAATTCTTCTTGTCATACAATTGTTCTTGTATTTCAAGTTTTTCCAACCAATACATGTATTAGAAAGTTATATAAAGAAATTTACAATTATAATTCAATTTGTCGGTATAATAATTTAGAATGTAATTCAATCACCATAACCCAAAGAGAATACTGGTGTTTTTATAGTTAAAGTTGTCTAAATTCTAAGTAAAAAATAAAAAGTTGTAAAAAAAAGCTCGCGGGCAAAACCCGTCCTGTCCCGCCTAAGCTCGCTTTTTAAATCGGGTTAGGCGGAGCTGACCAACTTAAGGTACCGAGGCGAAAACCTCAGTCCAACCCGCCAAAAATGGCGAGTCAAATTGGCTGGCTCGACCCGTTTTGCCACCCTTACTCTAAGCTTCAATGAGTATGACTACCTTAAATAACATGTTATGATATCCAATATGAACAAAATGGAAGATCAACCAAAACATGTTTCAAAAATGATGGGATCCTAACAAAATAGATAAAAAAATATTCTCAATTACTAAAATGTTTGGACTATTGTTTTCACATACAATACATCCTAAAAATTAGCTCTGTTATAGATCTCACAAATCTCTAACATTCACACTCGAAGCACATGTAGATCAAGATCAAAAGGTCTTAATTATAATTGCAACACGACTAAGGCCAATGTAAGATAATCTCAAGAGAAATTAAACTATAAAATTAAAGATGATAAAAGTTAGTGCGTGAGACACTTTTAGTGAGGAGAGAATGAGAAAAAGTAAATGAAATAAGGATTGTATTATTGAATTGAATTATTCAAGTAATAACACAAACTATGTTTATTTATGTACACCTAACTTATACACTAAGTAAGCTAACAAATCTTAATTGGGCTTGGACTTAGATTACACAACTTGGATTAGGTCTAATATATTAACATACCTCCATAGTCCAAGTTGTCGAACATACTCTAAAAATAGTCAATCTGAACTATTCGTAACTTCTTTCTCAAATTCAAGAATCTGCCAATCTTCAATCCTTTAGTGAAAATGTCGGTCAACTGTGCTTCATTTGGGCAATACCTAACTTCAAGTTCACCTCAATTTACCTTTTCCCTCAAGAAGTGAAATCTAGCTTCAATATGCTTACTCTTTCCATGTAGAACTGGATTCTTCGCCAGATTTATGGTTGAATTGTTGTTGATTTGTAAGACAAGAGGTTTTTTCACTTCGACCTCCATTTCTTCAAGTACTGATCTGATCCAAATTGTTTGATATGCAGCATAAGATCCTGCTATATATTCAGCTTCACACGATGACAATACCATCAGATGTTTCTTTTTCGAGCACCATGAGATTGGGGCACCAAGTACTTGAAAGAAATATTCAGTTGTGCTTCTTTTATCTTTCTTATCTCCACACCAATCAACATCTGGAAAATAATTTATTGTTGCTTCTTTGCCTTTAGAGTCTCTTCAAAATAAAATTTCATAGTCTATCGATCCTTTTAAGTATCTCAGAATTCTTCTTGCAGTCTTCATGTGCGACACTCTTGGTTCACTCATCTATCTGCTCACTAGTCTGACTGCAAAACCTATATCAGGTCGAGTATTGCACACATACCTCAGAGATCCCACAATTTGCTTGAATAAAGTTACATCGACCTTGTCTTCCTCTCCATGCTTCTCCAACTTCACATCTGGTTTGACAGGTGAGGATGCTGGATTTGAATCATCTATTTTGAATATCTTGAGTATCTCTTTGACATATTTCCTTTGATGTAACATCATACCTTGCTTTGACATTTGAAATTCTATTTCTAGGAAATAAGACAATTTTCCCAGATCCGACATTTCAAATTCCCTCTTCATCAGCTCTTTGAACTTCGAAAAGTTCTACAAGCTATTTCTAGTTATCAGCAAGTCATTGACATATAAGTAGATGGTTGTTATTGTAATGCCATAATTTAATTTAATTATTTATTTAATTAAATTATTTTTGGATTATTTGTGAAGTTGCAAGAAGTTAATAATTATGGGTATGGGTTGTTGGATTATTATTAATTAATTAATTAGTTGATTAAAAATAATTATAATATTGGAATTAAGGGAATATTTATATAATGTTGGACTTATGCTATTGGTTGCAAGTAGTAAAGTGGGGGTGTGTAGGTTAGGCCCAATAGGATTCATATATAAGGCTAAGCTGACACAAGGAATTGTTTTAGTTGGTGTTTAAGAAGCTCTGTACGTTGAACGGAAGAGGAGCAAGCTGCCGGTGTCGAGCAGAGCAAAGCAAGGATTCCGGTCAGAGCTTTGGTTGAGCGACCTGCAATCCAGGTAAGGGTGGAGTTCTGACCTTATAATGGGACTTATGATGTGCATTACATGGGAATTGGTCGTTTTATGATTATTGTGCGTTGATGTTTCTGATCTGCAAGTGAAGTTGCCCGTTTATTCATGTTGTGACCGTTGGGGAGTACTACATGACCGTTTAATGAACATGTTATATGAAGTTGCTCGGTTATGTGTTGCAGACGTTTTGTAGATCTGTGTGACTGCCAGTTTAATTGATGGATAGGTTACAATAGTGATTACTGGTCGTGATGGTCGTTAGGATGTTAGGTTATTCTGGGCGGTTGGTAAGAAAATTAATAGGTTGTTGAAGTGGTCATTTTAGGGAGGTTTCAGCGTGACTGTCTTGTATGTTTTATGAACATGTTATAGGAAATATAGTTGCTCGTTGTTGTGTTATTCCGAGCGGTTGGCCGGAAGTTATGAATGGTAGTGGTGTGGTCGTTAAGACGTAGTAGTGTGTCTGTGTTGTTGGCAGAACTAGTGGTCGAGGAGGATGCTGATGGTGTTAGATACCGAGCGGCATATTAGGCTGCGATGCGTGTCGGGGAGAGTATGTGTTGGATTGTCAAGCAATACTAGGTTGCAGGACACGTCGAGGAGCATAAGTGGGTCGTTATCCTGTTTTTCCCTGTACGTGTCAAGGAGTATGGATTAGTTGTTAGGCTGTCCTAGTTGATATGCATGTCGAGGGGTACATAGTTCCCTATCCCTTTTTTCCCATACATGTTGTGTTTTGGTCATTGTTGTACCCCAATTTTTGCCCCTAAGATTCCTCTATCATATGATATCAACTCGATCATAACAATATCACATTAGGGTTGGTTCTTCCTCTTTTTCTATCTCCTATCTTTAAGTTCGCCCTTGAGGAATCTCCAAGCACCTTGGTTGTGTATTTTGTATGTGTTGTTGACTAACTTCTAATCAAAATATAAAAAATATTTGTCTTTGTCTTTGTATATTTTTGTTTTGTAGGTACCAAGTTGAAGCATATGGCA